GGTTATTCACTACAAAACAAAAGCTTGTTTTGATAAGAATAAGAAAGAATACAAGAGAATGCAATTCTGGAATCTCTAATCAATAATTCATTAGATGGTTCAATTATCACAAGTTATTGGCCTTTATATAATAAGACTAAATAATAATAGCTAGAAACTAAGAGATATCATCATAAAGAAGAAAGAGAAAATATCTAAGATACTCGTAAGATATTCTACTAGATTTGGTAATTTGAAAGATTACAAAATCTATCCAAAAATAGAAAAGGTTATATAATCAAATAAAATCAAATATAATATGTCTAAATATGCTAAAATAACCACACAATTAATATTTATAAGGCCAAATACACACGCATGGCCCAATTAATAAGGCCTAGTTTATGCATTAAGTCCAAATAGCATGCAACAACTAAAATGTGCCCTAATTGCAGAAGTATATGTAGTTTGTGAAGTTTCGATTTTCACCAAGAAAAGTAAGTAAAAAGAAAAAGATAAACCAAGTTTAATTAGCTAATAAGTTAATATGCCACAACCAACTAAAAAAAGGTGATTCGTCACACTTTTAGAGAAAAAAAGAAGAGTGATAAGAATTTGGGGTTATTCATTACAAAACAAAAGCTTGTTTTGATAAGAATAAAAAAGAATACAAGAGAATGCAATTCTGAAATCTCTAATCAATAATTCATTAGATGGTTCAATTATCACAAGTTATTGGCCTTTAGATAATAAGACTAAATAATAATAGCTAGAAACTAAGAGATATCATCATAAAGAAGAAAGAGAAAATATCTAAGATACTCGTAAGATATTCTACTAGATTTGGTAATTTGAAAGATTACAAAATCTATCCAAAAATAGAAAAGGTTATATAATCAAATAAAATCAAATATAATATGTCTAAATATGCTAAAATAACCACACAATTAATATTAATAAGGCCAAATACACACGCATGGCCCAATTAATAAGGCCTAGTTTATGCATTAAGTCCAAATAGCATGCAACAGCTAAAATGTGCTCAAACACCTTTACATGTGATCACGGTGATCATCTTAGGCTCCTCCCCGTGCAAGAACTCTACATTAATTGAAATCTGTCCAAGTAGAAAACTGAATGTCGAATGGAGCTTTTTAGCTCCAGAACAAGTTATAAAACTAATAATTGATGCAATTGAGTGCTGATCCATGTCTGCTCCATTATGAGCTAAATTAATCTCCGCTAAATCACTATGATGGATCCCATTATATTTATTTCTTTATCTATATCTTTTTAACACTCGTTTATATCTATGAAATTAGAGACTATCCCACTATTAGTAAAATCCAGTTTAAACTTTTTTTTAACACTCGAACTGAAAAAAAAATTAATAGAATTTAGATAAAATTCCTTATATCTCTTTCTTTCATCTATTCTCTAATCAAGATTTGAAGTGTATGAATTTAATAAGAGACAATAAAAAATATGGTGTCAAGTGTCTTGTTTTTTGAATCTGAAGACGCCTTACTGGCACTGCAAAAGTTGCTATAATCTGTGTGCACAAGAAAAATCCTTTATTTTAGGTGTTAACAGATAGTAGACCTTTGTTAAGCAGAGATTGATATTGTTTAATAGCACACACCTACAAGAAAGCAAATTCTTTCGATTTCTTAACACGTTGGACGTTTCGTGACAATTTTCAAGTTTCCAAGCTTATTGTTCCTACAAATATCTTAGTTGATTTCATGCAGGATAATATTAATGGTTTAGCAAGGCCCACAGCTTGTATTGATTAAGCGGTTTTAAACTTTTGTTAATAAAATAAATAAATAAAGTCTAAGTACATGTATGCAGAATTTAGAGAATTACAAGAATGAGATTCTAGAAATTGTACAAATACCCATTTTACTACTATTAACGTTAAAAAAAAAAAAGGCAAAAATATTTCTACTCCCAATACTGTATTCCAATTTACATTGTATAAGGTTACTGATATAACACTTTCTGTTTTAGGAAGGAAAAATCTATTAGATTTTAAGGGATAAAAGATATAAAAAGTCCGTGAATTGTAATTAAAAATTATTTAAATTATTTATTTTTTAAAAAATCAATTTATCTCTTTAATTTATTTATATTCAATTAAATTTTTATTTGAATGAAAAAGTTAACATTATTATTTTTTATCAATTAAGATAAAATTTTATATAACATCAATAAAATAGATAGAAGTTTGTCACATGACATAATTAATATCTATGAAAGTTAAATAAAATAAAATTTTCTTCCTTTCCTCTTTTTCTTCTTTATTCTCTCTCGTCATCTCTATTTAAAATCCCTCTAAACGTTCAATTAATTATAATTAGGAGATTGATTAGCTCAATTCGTGATTAAATTTCATCTAATTAAGAGTTTAATTAAATCAAAATAAAAAATTAAAAACTTGATTGATTGTAATAAAATGTTAAAAATTTAAATGATTATTAAATTATGATTTAATAACTTTTTTTACCCTCTAGTCGATTTTAAAGTATAGGCTTATACAGTATATATTGATTTTGATTTCCCTACCCAAAAAACTATATATATATATATATATATATATGAGAAATGATCAACTTACACATAATAAAACTAAAAAAGTTTTACACATTTTTTTAACTATTGATTTTAATTTATCCAATGAATGAGATTAAATTATTTTTCTTATTTTTCATTTATCACTCTCATTTTTTAAATATATTAAAATCAATAATTAAAAAAATATGTAAAACGTTTTCATTTTATACTATATAAATGGATCCATTCTATATATATTAAGCATGTTTTTATTTTCCTTTTTGTCTGAAGTTCAAGAGTTGTAATCTCTTAGACCTGAAGATTTGGAAGCCTTTTCAGAGATTTAGGCTCAATCTTGAAACACAAATTCCCAGCCCAATATTAATCCAATGAAGAAGTGGACTAAACCCAATTCATTTTTTTTGCCGGGAGATTAACTATTAAGCCGATCCATTGACTCTTAGAAGCCCGAAATCTTAAAGTTATGTCATTTAGGACCCTAGTTATATTTTCTTAATTTTGGGGATAATTCAGATCAATTTCCATTAAAATAACATTTATTTTTATTAGAATAAAATTACTTTTATTTCATCTCAAGCATTAATGGCCAAAAAAATTCTAAAACTCTATCAATTTTTCAAAATATAATAACTTGACTATAAGAAATAACCTAATTATATATAACTTCATCCTTGCCCCATAGAAGTCATTAAAACCAAATACCTTTCTTAATGTTTTTTGACCTCCTGGCCATACCATTACCATTGGGGCATTAGCCTTGAAGCATAAGGGGCAAGATCTTATGAGATTCCTTGATTGTACCCTTTGCAACCTCAATTTCTGGCCCCAAAACAAAGTGCAAGTTCACTTGATTGTTGATGCCAAGTTTGGAACAGAAGCGGCTGACAAGTTCTCCTGGCTGCAGTCTCCATCTCAACCTCTAGTTGTTTCTTTATAACTACAAGTTTAGGGTTTACTTTTGATCCAACATGTTAAGGATCCCTATCACCCATGGAATCAACAAATGTTCTCCATTGGGAAGTTTCATCACTATAATTGGATTCAAGAATAAGGTCACATTTGTTGGAAAGATTGAATCAAATCTTTTAAAAGATTTATTTGAAATTTTTTTCAAGATTAGTTAGATAATACTTGATGGACAATAAAACTTGTAAAATAAGAATTTTAAGAGAAAAAAAAAAGATTCTTGATGGTTAGGTTGGAAATCTTATAAATAGTAGGAATCTCCATTAATTATAAGAAAAAGATTTAAATAGAGTTGTAGGATTTTACTAGAAAATGCTTATGTGTGTATGTTTGATAAGTTAAATCTCATAGGATTAAAAGAGAATGAGAAAATTCATGGGTGTGTGAATGTTTTTTGGATCTGAGAATACTCATAGGATTAGAGAAAAATAAGAGGACTCATGGATATTAATTATGAGTGAGTAATTTGATTGTATGTTTATAATTCTTTACAATTAGTGTATATTTTTTTTCATCCATAGATGTAGACCACTTTGGATTAAATTGAATCATTTTAAATGATTATCTTTTCTTGTGAATGATGATTTATGATTTGGTTATACTTTCACTTGTTTGAATGATTGATTGGATTGAGGTTTTTGGTCTAATACTCAGAATAGATTGTCTCTCTTGCTCTATAATCAAGAACTATTCTAGTTTCTCACATTCAATCTAAACAATTAATGAAAGACAGGATTTGTTATCTCATGTTTACTTTTCATGAAAAATTACCAATTGTAGCGAAGGGTTACTTCAAACAATAAAGGAATTGGATATCTATTTAATCAAATTATATCTTTTCTTGAGGCAAGTGGGCTATTTCTTTGCAAAATTGTGCTCAATTTCATACGTTACAATTCCATCAAGATCTCTTCGTTAATTGGGGGAAGAATCTACACGAATTGGATATTTTGTAAGAATGTATCAAAAGAATTGAATTTAAATAAACAATATATGATTGGTAAATAGGAATTGATTTTTAGTTAAATACAAAATTTATTATTAAATATTTAATATGATTCCACAAGATTTAATTTCGATTAAGTAAGCAAAATTTAACCAATTGAAATGATCTTCTATTTCAACATGAAGGATTTATGTTGATAAATTGGCCTTGAGTTCTTTATGATTTGGAACCTTGTTGTTCAAACTTCTAAGTATCAAGAAAAAGTTAATAACCCAAGAATCCAAAGAATGTCATTTACAGAGAGGGCAATCCTTGAAAAGGGAGAAAATAATTTTCCTTTTCATGGATTAGGATTTCTGGGGACGCGCGTTTGGAATAAAAGACTCCTGGAACAAAATCCAGGTTACTATAGGACCACAATAACAAAGTACAAGCCAATAGAATTATAATAAATATATTACCAAATCCAAAAAAAGAAAGAATAATCAAATCAAAATCCAACAAGGGTCCAAGGCTACACTCAATTGCACTGGCCAGGGTGATTTTTTGGGGCCCATTTGATATGAGACAAAAGGTGTAAACCCACGTGGGCATGATGTTGGAAGATAATCTGTTTGTTTCCTTTATTGAATAATTATTTTGTTTACATTGTTGAAGACTTGAAGTGTTTGGATGTTGAAAACAAAAGACATCCCCACCAATGTTGTCAGCAGATTGCTTGTCCACCAACGAGAAAACCTGGGAGTTGGGACAAACCCCACCAAAGAATTTATTACCACCAGCCTAGGTAATAAATAGTTCTTTATTTTTTTTCTGCTTGTTCTCACATCACTTTCAAATCATTGATTGGATCAGATACCGATTCTGACAGGTTGAAACTGGAGTTAGTTATCACGGAATACCCACAACAACTGACGTGTCTGTGCTGCTTTTAGTCAATTTTTTAAGGAGCGTGAAGACAATCAAGTACATAGAATCCTTCCACTTCAGAACTTAAAAAGCAAACATTCTTTTGCTGTCATGAAAAGTCTTCCCTTGTCTTTTACTCAATTTCTGGTATGGCCAATGGGAGAGGGTGAGGGTGGGGGGCTCAGACAGAATCACTGTCTGAAACTGAAACCTTGTACTTTTCAAATAAAACAAATACTTTAGTTCATAAAGGTACCGTTGAAGGTTCTGCAATCCTTTTCAGGTAGATCTTTTGTTTCCCCCCCACTCAAATGCAAGTCAAGAGTAACCACACACGTGACTGAGGAAAAGATTTTTTTAAGTTAGAGAAGCATTTAACCAAGTAGTTGTGATCCAAAGGCCATTTAAATGTTGGAAATCCCAAGTGGGAAGCCCTGTTACATATCTTGGATTATAAAATTCCAACCACTTATACTGGCCATAAATATTATCATATGCTGGTCTACCAGATGCCAGTCTCCTGTCCTTCCAGCTGATAACAGAATAAACCTGAAAGAGTGAAAAAGAAGGAAGACAGGAAAGAGAACCCAAAAAAGGCAAAGATGCAAATATTATCCACGTTTTAGGCAAAGCTAAATTCCACTACTTACGTAATAAGTAAAAGACATTCATACTGATGATCCTCGTGCTCTTTTGCAAAAGATACTTAGAATACTCCTATTCTCCTTGGACTTCCATAAAAATATACAAGAAACAATATTTACTTTCTAAAAAATGACAACAATGGCCTCAACTCAAAATAACCAAGGGCCTCAATACAAGGTCGACCTGACTGACATTCCATCATGCATTCTTGTCTTTCTTGCTTGCCAATATTGAGATTAGTGAAGAGAGAGATTGTGGAGAGATGCTTTGATATGGCATGCAGAGAATAGATGAAAACAAGATTCAATTTGATAGAGGATCGGTTAAATCATGATCACAGTGAAAAACATTGTACCCCTTCAGGTAGATTCCTAGGCATTGGAAGTGCTGTGACATATCTCTGTGGAACTGGTTTGTGGATTGCAGACACTAATGCAGCTCCAGAGGTATCTCCTTGTCCTCGGCTATGAAATCTGGCAAAACGGTTGATGACAGAAAAACGTTCCAGCTCCTGACATTCCACTCTGATGTCTAGAACTGACACTTTCTTGTCCAATCTGCATAAACAAATGGTATTCATGCAAAGAACATCATAAAGTTATAGATACAATTTTGCCATCAAATGAATAAATTAACATCAATTGTGCAAAAGGGAATTAAATCTGGAAAATAAAAGCAATATTTCTTAGAAGGGCACTCCTTTATTTCAGGAGATGGGATTCTGAAAGCCACATCATTTATTTTGGCACATAATTTGATATTATATTACCATTCAGCAAATGATGATAAGGAAGCAAGTGAAACCATAGAACAGGAAACATGTTCGATTTATCAGCTGTAAGGAACCTTCTCCTCAGGAGTTGGAATGACAGGGCTTGGCCAATTCAATTGTATATTATATGATTGTGATCAGATATTCACAGCTCAACATATGGGGTATAAATGCAGCCATAATTTTTGTTGTGTCACTTAAGAGGCGCATTTCTCCATCACAAGAACAAGAATGGTTGCCAAATAGAGAAATTCATTAATGGAGTACATACCTTTGGAAGTTGTTTTCTAGTTTCTTAGCTCTATCAGTAAAATCTTCCATGACTTCCAAAATGTTCTGATCACCAGTTTTCTCAAAAGTTTTTAGCTTCTCATAGGTCCTGAAAAACATATAATTCTTAGAAGGCAAGGCCAGAAATTTTACGAAAGTACCACCTCAAGTTTAAAATTAGTGTGCAGCGAAAGTTTACTTAAAATTAGCATTGTGCTAACATGCAAAAAGAATTTGTATTTTAGCCTCCTAATATATTCACAACTTGTAAGAACAATACTCACATGTCACTGTTGTAAGAGGTGAGCTGCATATTTTTTCTTACACCACAGGAAAGGTTGCATGCATCACCAAGGGCTACTCTAGAAACAAAGTATGATACACTATCATAGTTTGAGGTGGCATCTGCTCTGAGAATTGGTGCCGGAACAGGATGAAGCAATAGCTGCATAAGCTGTGTTGTCAAGACAAGCCTCCTTTTTGATCGAAGCATTGGATGCACATCTTCAAGTATTTCAACCTCATCTTCCACCTGCCAGTAGTAATGCAATGTTTAGATTCAATTTTAAATTCAACACATGGACAATATTTAGAGGCACTAAATTCCATTATTATCAAACTTGGAGCACACACCTTCTCACACAACCGATTTGTGGCCTCAGCCCATTCTTGTTCTGACACACTGTGGAAATAACTATAACTTAAAATTAAGATCATGAACGAATAAGGAATCAATAACTCACACAAGTAACCCAGAAAAATAGAGGGATAGAACAAAAAGACCAAAGGAATATAAATTGAAAATTTTCCAATCTCTGCAGTCAATATGAGTGGTGACAATAAAGTATCAATAATCAAGGAAACTAAAATTACTAAAAAGAAATGGGCAAATATTGTAATGACCTGATATTTTGAGGTTTTTGGCAACCTTGTGACACTTCTCTGCGCCATGGCAGAAGCTCAGATGATATAGCTTTGCGCTTCTTCGGTCTTGTAATAAAAATATTTTGATTGTTGATACTTGATGGCAACACATAAGGAGCTGAAAAGTGTTCATTTGTCACCAAGGTAGTACCTAAGCTTGGCATGGAAATAGTAGCTTGACTAGCCTCCACAGCATCTACTTGTCCAACAGAGTCATGAATATGCAGATTCTGAGTAGACTTCAAGAGGGAGAACTGTCCAGAGGCAGATTTTGTAATCCTGGCATCAGACGTTAAAAGCATCTGCCCATTTCTGAAGGACCCATAATGCTTAAACCAAGAGGGTGCCATATGCAGGTTACCCTGGCAATGATTCATATGATTAGTTACATAAGAGCCGCTAGTAGATTGGCTCTGAGAACTATTTTGACCAAATTGGACCATCTCATGCAAAGGCATACTTTGTAGAGCAGTCTGTGGCAAAGCTTTTACAGTTGGATCTTCCCTTGAAGCTGTGAAGAAGCTTAGCATTTTGTTATCCCCACCTGGTGCTAAACTTGGACCACTATCCATAGAGCTTCTCAACCTTGAATTATGTTCATACAACTGCTGTCCAACCACAGAAGAAACCTGCTGAGAGTCATCGGTACTCTTACTTGGATCAGTCTCAGCATTATTTATCGCTTGTATTTGGTGCAACAGGGAGTAATTTTGATGGAAACTGTTAGATGGTTTCAAAGAATGGGCACCGGGTACAAAGTTTCTCTCAGAAGTCATGAAGGCTTGGTTATCATCATGTTTAACCCCATCAAGGACTTCCTGATTAGAAAGAGGCAATGATGAGGAAGAGGGCAGAGCACTTGCATTTAAGCAATGCTTTTGTGAAGGTTTTTCTCCTTGAGAGAAACTAGCTGGCTGGGACGGGTCTGTCATATTAGAAGACATTTGCTGCAAGGACCTCTCTTGTCCTGCCTGAATTTCCCCATAACCACATTTATTGGAGTTTATACTACTATTTGTGGGATCCATGGAGGGAGGCAAGCTAGCAGGAACTTTTAGAGGTTCTAAAACAGAAAGATTCCGCTGAGTTGGTAGAGTTCTCCATGCATTTTGCATTGCTGAAAATTCACCATGCCCTGACATGCCTGGCATGATATAAGTCTGAGATACCTGTGAAGCTTCCAAAACTGGAAACTGTTGACCAAAATGATTGGAAGAAGTCTGTTGAGAAGTATCTTGAGAGGTGGCAAGGTTAACAGGGGGATTCCTACTAGCATTTGAAAGTGTCACCTGTAATGATTGAGATGCTACAGGTGAATTAGGCATGGGTTGCATTTGTGTTTGATTTCTCAGATGCGGAAGACTGGATGCAAAGGCTGCAGCTGCGCTCCCCTGCATGGTTGAGTATGACGAGACACCTTTTTCTCTGGACATACTCGATTTACCATCCAAATGTACTCTTTGAGACAACTCATGTGCTGAAGACGAAGATTGAACAGAATATGGAGAAGCTACCCATGTCTGATTGACCTGCCCTGATTTTAGATTACTTAGAGTCTGTGGTGAGCCCTTAGAATTGAGGAAAGGGTTTGAATTTGGCAGCTGTTGGGATGGGAGGGCCAACCTTAAACCAAACCCTTGAGAAGCGGCAGATGGGTTGTATAGTTGAGCAACGGATGTATAATCTTCTGCCTCCGGAACTTTAGCCAATGAATTAGATTCTATAAAGCCAGAATGTGCCATGACACCACCCTCCCTCGGAAGGTTAACCTTGTGAAGGAGCTCAAGCATATTTTGACTGCATAGGTTCAGTCAATCACATTTCAACAATATGTTGTAGAAACTTTAAGCACATAACAAGATGACAAGCTTTAGGCTTACACATGAGAAAAAAAAATCCAGTAATAGATTCTATTGCCCAACAAAAGCACAATAAGGACAAACACAAATATTCCTACTTCTTTAATAGCAACCAATTTGTATGTTTAAGCTACGAATGAACTAAGCCAGTTAGTAGGAGATTATATATGTAAACACCTTGTCTGAGCAGCAGTATTTGAACCATTAGGGCCAACTGATTTGATATCATCCCCAGAAGTTAACTCTTCTAAAGGTAAGCGCACCTGCAAAAAGGACAAATCATGTAACTAATCAAGAACATTAAGAAAAAAAAAACACCATTGGAATTAAAAAATATCGTTATTTACCTCATTGAAGTTTGCACTGCCACTAGAAACATCACCAAAAAACTTGACCTGTCCAGAAAGTCCTTGGTCACGACCACTCAGTCCTTTAGAATTATAGCTGTCACTTGAAGCTTGCCGTTGGTAGCTCTTTTGCTGATTTACGTATATTTCACCTTCTCCCTCAGAAGAGTTAGCAAAACCATGAGGCCCATTGCTTAGCTGATGCTGATTCTTATGTGTACTCTCACTTCCCTTGGGGGCAGAGATATCAGCATGTCTCATGTAATCAGATCTATTATTATCCATGACTCGTTGACCAGTTGACTGGTTATTATTTATCTGTGAATCTTTTCTGCTGAACAGATTATTATCTGAGCCAGATTGTACTTGCTCCACCCCTCCAGTTGATGTCTTTAACAAACAACCATCATTAGTGCTACCTGCAACCAATATTCACAGTTCCTTGTTAATATGAGAATAAATGCAGCAAAATTTCCTTGAGGTGAAGGGGGATACTACCATTATATTTAGTATAAGGCTGGCCAAAATCTTCATGTGAGGTAGTCCGCCGATGAGCACTACTTTCTGTGTGCACATACATCTGACCTGCCCAAGCATTATTTAAATGCATATATGACTGAGCTTGTTGACCTCCCTCAAAGGGTTGCTTCTGTTGAGTGCCACAATCTACCCACTCAGAAGTGACTTTGGGAGACTTCCTTTCAGAAGACCCATGCGATATATCATGAGGTAGATTCTCACCCTGATCAGGTGAAAATTGGGTGCCAGGCTGCTTAAAACCAGGGAAGGTAGAGCTTACACCAGAATAATTGAACATGGGCATAGATTTTGAACTAAAGGAGGAGGCACTCTGTAGGCTGCCATCAATCCAACCTGCCCGTTGCTTATCACTGTCGACAAAGTTTGAAAGCTGATTATCAGTTGACTGTTCAGTATTCTGAAATGTCAATCCACTCCACTCATCCTGTAGCCCAGTATCACTGCTAGAAGCCTCAGCCACAGCAGACTGCATTAGAGCACTCCAGCTCCCACTCTGAATAGATGGAAAAGAATTTGAAAAATCTGAGTTCTCCAACACATTGCTGAAACTTCCAGCACCTACATCAGTGCGCCTGCCTAAGGAGGCATCCCAGAAGTTATCATCCATATTATATAATAACTTCTCTTCTATCGGGTCTAAAGGAACCAAACCCTGAGAGGGACCAAGTTGTGTAGTTTTCTGCTGCATTGCAGGACAACCAGCTTGCTGTTGCCTTCCATTGAAGTCCTTGGCAGATGCATTTACTTGTGCAGCATTCTCGGCCAGGAAGCTTCCAGACATATTTCCACTATTTATGCTCTGGCCAGAGGCTGATCCAAACATATCTTTCCCCTGAAATCCTGGGTTGGATATTAAGGCACCTTGTAACATGTAGACCTGATCTGGTGAAACATTATATCGATCTCTTAAGAATGTACCTGATGACTGCATGGTAGGCTTCTGTGCTTGACCACCAGCCTTAGTCAAGAAATTGACAGCATCACTAGAGATTCCTTGTTGAGAATATTGACTCATATTACTTCTTGCACTAGCAACAGGAGTACCGTATAAAGATGCATCAGGCTGCTGAGAACTTAGGCCCATTAAGCGGAAAGTCTGTCGTTGATCTTGTGGGAATACAACTCTGTTAGATACTCCTGGAGTAGTGGGCAATGTACCTTGCGGTACAATGTTCATAAACATTTGTGATGCTTCGTGAACAGGAGTTCCATTAATAAGAGGTGAGAACTGACCCGTGGCAGACTGTTTGGCAATAGCAGAAAGTTGGTTTGAAGTATTCTGCTCCCGCACATCACCGAACTGTTGAATTTGTTGTTGTCTCTGAAGATCTTGCAGCTGCTTGATCATTAAGTGCTGCTGCAACAACTGCATTTCATTATAGCCAGACTGCTGCATGGGGAGAGGTTGCTGAATACCCAGTTGTGGGGTGTTCAAAAGTTGTCGCCCTTTAAGAAAGTTTAAATCAGTAGAAGCTTCAGTAATTTCCGATCTTTCCGAATTTGTTGTCAAGGTGGGACTCTCACAAGACTCATTTTCTTGATGTGATTTAAAGATAGAAGAGCCTCTGGAAATCAAATTACGCTGATCATAATCTGTATTTTCACCCAAAAACCCTGAACGATTGTGTTGCATCCCAAAACCCTGACAGTCAAGCAAGAAGCCATTTGTATTCAGTTGTTGGTTTCTGGAAAGAATTTGGGAACACTCAAGTGTAGGAGACGATTGTGTATAGTTTTGATTGTGCAGCACATTTAAGGCTTCACCACCATGTCCTCCCACGGAATCTGTGAATAACAAGCAAATATTATAGGTAGTTTAATCTCACGAAATGGGTGTTTTAAATAATTATAACTAAGCATTGTTTTTTCAGTTTATTTTCCCATTTCAGGATAGTGGTGCTATTCTTTATTAGGCAGAACAAATTTTCACCATATAAAAACATGCAGAAAAATATAGAATTAATAGTGAGAACATAGATACCTAATTGTTGCAAGCTGTAGCTTTTCAAATTGGAATTCTGGGTCGTGCCAATCTGTCTCAGCTTTCCAACCCAATGATTATAGTTAAGCACCGGCCAATTTCCATCCCCAGCTTTTGGCAGATGGTGGCCCTGGAAAGAGTTATCTAGCTCGAATAGACTGTGGATCCCGTCTTCAAATTCGTTATCTGGCATTAAACTCCACCCACCACTATTTTGTACCTATATGCCTTTGTACAGTATCAGTTTATCCATATATAAGATCATCACGGCTCAAAAACAACTTATTCTACAGGAAAGTCTCCCAAATTACTCTCCAAATTGCCACTATTCCACTCATGAAGAGATCATCCTACACCATGACATTAGTGGGCAAGTAAGAACATTAAACAATCAAAGATAATGGCGAAAGAAAACTGCACTATTTAGTTCTTTATAAGCTGCTTTACCAACTTTTTTACTTCTATGATATACATTTTGATTTTGAAAAAATCATAATAAAAGTACATATCATGTTAATTAAGATTTATGCAAAAAAAAAAAAAAAAATGCACACACAGACATAGAGAAGAAATCAAATGCCAACTACAATAAGACAGTCGGAAACTTTCAGTTTCCACCGACTTTCTTAGCAACCAAACAAAGCAAATAAATAAATAAATAAATTTTTTAACAATTTGTGAATTCCTCACAAATTTAACAACTTTTTCCAAAAAAAAAAATAATAATAATAAACCACAAAAGAAAATTGAAAACGTTACATACCCCAAAACTTAAACTAATATTGACCCAAATCAACTAAATGCAAGCAGAAAGTAATCGAATTTAGGTCTCACCCCAAATTTCCCATAGTGACTAAACTGCAAATTTCAAAACTAAAAACCCTAAAAACTTAAAAAAAAACACACAAAATTTTACACTTTAAGCTTATTTCAACATAATTAAGAAGAAAAAAATTGTCACTTAAATTAGTGAACTCCAAGCTAAATTAACAACAAGAGCAAAAAAAAAAGCTGAAAAATTAAAAAAAACTTACCAAAAAAAAGAAACAAAAGCTTCAGGCAAGAAAATGTACAAAAGGAACTTAAGCTTCTGATCTGAGCCCCAAGCCAAAGAGCCTTTCTTTAGGGTTCTTCAAGAGAAGCTAAGAAACGGCAACTGCTTTTTTTAAAAAATTAAAACAAAAATTAATTGTAATTGACAAGGCTAAGCTTAATTAGAGAGAGAAGGAGAAGGTTTGAAAACGACGGGATAGTTTAACTTAAAACGACGGTGGAAACACACACTCTCTTTCTCTCTAAAAATCTTTTCTTTCTTTTTGTTTCTCTCTCTATAATTGGATTCTCGGACAGGGAAACGAAGATAAAGGGATCGAACCAGTGTCCAAATAAAAATAAATGAAAATTAAAAAAAAAGGAAATTGTTTTTTTTTTTTTTTCAGAAGAAAAGAAAATTATTAGGTACGCATCAAAGGAAAGGTTTGGAGCTAGGGATATTAAAGTGTTTTGCGGGTGGAATTTTGAGTTATTTTGGACCGTTTGATGTAAATTGTACGGCATAGATTAGAAGAGATCGCTTTCACGAATGCGAGAAAAAGTGGATGGAAAAGCGGTCTCACGCGCTTTTTAGCACGCGTGGACGTTGGTGTCACTTTTTTTGCTTTTTTGTTTTTTTTAGTTACTTTTTGGATGCTTTTTGGCCTTTCAAAAGGGGTTTGTGTTCTTAATTTTTAAAAATTAAAAGAAAAAAGAATTCGAGATTTTGTCATTTTTTTAATATATATTTATGGTATTTTTTTTTTTAACAGTTTGGGTTTCATTTATTTTCCCGCCTTGAGTTTTAGCGAACCCAAGATAGTAAAGAGAATTTCTTTTTTCTTTTCTCAAATAATAATAATAATAATTATTATTATTATTATTATGGGGAATAAATGGGGTAATTTATTCTTCTATAGTTTTTACTAGTTTGGACCAAATTTTGTAGAGAATTTTATTGAGATTTAAAAACAAGGATAATGTCACATTTATTTGTTATTATACTATAGATTTTTTTAATATAGATATAGTATACGTGGTTAAAAACATATAATGTAGTATTTATACTATTAATTTTTGTAAAAATATGATACTTAAAACTAACATCTTTAAAAAGTTAACATCATTAACTAACAAAAATGATTTATTTTTTATTAATTAAGAGTTGATATATGTTAGTTTTTTTTTTATTATATCAACATAAAAAACCAATAAAAAAATTAAGGATTTATATTTGTGGTATCTGTAACTCATCTATATTGAAGAACGTTAAGTAAAAAATTTTATAGATGTGAAAAATTAAAAGAGGTATGAGAGTTATTTATTTAATTTATGCATAAAATTTATTTTTTTAGTTTAATATAATTATCATATTTGGATATGTTTTAATGAATGAATTTTTATCTAATTTATAACCAAAATTGTCTTTGTAGTTCAATATAATGATTAAATTTGCGTATGTTTTAATGGATAAATTATCTTTGTTTTAGTTGTTTGTGATTTTTACCTATGGGGTAAATGTTATTGACTTCCCTCATATTTAGGAGATATAATTTGCAAATGAGAATGAAGAATTGGAAATTGAAATTAAAATATTATTAGCTGAAAATAGAGAATTGAATAGAATTTATCAAACTCCTATCCAAATATGCCAAACACTATTTAATGAAAAAAAAAAAATAAAGAGAAACCCACATCTTAAAAGTTGGATGGAACTTGAACTATGAGTTAGGCTTTAAAACAAAAATTAATTTTTGAGGTGACATTTTCCACTTTTGTGCATTTAATAGAATCTATCCCAAACAAGTATGACATGTGCTCCAAATCTCAGCTACATTGTTTTAATAATATTAATATCAATTATCAAGACTTGCACTGAAAATCAAGTAATTTGAGAGAAAAGAGAGAAAGATAGGTAAAGACTAAAGAAGATGCTTTAGCCTTTGGAGCTGAAGATTTGACTCCATGTCATAGTTTGATAGAGACAGAGTGGGGAAGAGATATCACATGCTTTAAAGGTGATATATATATATATATATATATATATGATTTTGTCAAAATTTAATTTATAATAATTAAAATTAAAATTTTAATATTTTATTAATAAATCACATAATTATTAATTTAAAAAAGATTGAACGTGCTGAGATATTAATAATGATTTATAGATTGAGTAAAGCATATGAAATTTTAGAAACAATGAGATCACCAAATTGAATCCTTGGGGGAAATACATGCATTGCAAAGTTATCAACGTAGAAAATCTAGTACCCAAAATTATATGCCTAATAGTTATTTATGATATCACATATTATAATATGATATGATCATCTAAATTTTCATATTTCATACTTGTCAAATTTTAAATTCAAGTTGTGTCATGGATGCAATGGTGCATCTTGGGGTGATAGAGAGAGTTTCTTAATGAGTATGAAATAATAGAGTTATCAATGTTAATATATATTCAGAAAATATATTCGAATTCACATTTGATTTAATTCAATTTGATATATAAAATTAATAATTTTTATTCGTTCAAAGTGAATAGAAAATAATCTAAATTCAAATTAATTTGGATTTGAAATGATTATCGAAAAATTAACCCAAAATGATATGAAATTAAAATTGATTTGATTTTAAATTTTAATAAATTAAACTTAAAAGTAATTTGAATGTAAAATTCAAAAAATCAAATTCAAAATGATCAAAACTTAAAATAATTCAAATCTAAAGTATCTTAAATTTGAAATAATATAACTTAAATGTAATCTGATCTGACCTATTGAATTATGAAATATGCCTTTTTGCTTACTTTTTTTTCAACAAAGATTAAAAAGAAGTATCTTGTGGGATGTCTCCTTTACTAAAAAATAAAAAATAAAAATTATATTAAAATACAAAATGATACTATCTTTTGCATGGTATTGTTTAGTGATAAAATTAAGATCAAATTTTTAAAAATTACGAGACTATAAGTTATAACTATTAAGAATATTAACTTACCAACAGTATTCTCCTGTGCAGTAAAAAGGTAATTACTTCATCTTTATTCAATAAATTTTTTCTTTTTAGTTAAACAAACTTGCCGATGACCCAATTGCAGATATGGTGTTACAGGCAATGCTTTCATGCAAACTTCCCATCTACTTTATTATTATTATTATTATTTTGCTTCGTGGATAGTTGCAACTCTTTTTTTGGTTTTTAGTGTATTAATAAGATGTCACTTGACTTGTTATCATCAAATTTATCGTCTCAATTCTAGTATCATTCGAAACTTCCCTTTCTCAACCTGCTACATGTTGTTTTTGGCAGTATGGCTTTATTAATATGAACATGATCCTCTGCAAGAGAGCAACAACTGTCAAACATAGGTACTCGTATGATAAAATGTAGTAGTGAATTCGAAATTTTTTTTTGAAAATATTCACTTATAATATATATATATATATAAAAATATTGTTTCCGAATTTATTAATTTTATTAACGGATGTCCAATTAAAAATTTGGGATGTATTTCTTTTAAAATTTTATGTTTTTTAATTTTTGGATATCTATGCATGTGTATTTTAAAGAGGACATAGGAATTGTTGAAATGAGAATATCAGATAATTGACTTTAAACCAAATTAACTGATAACTTTATCCCTTATTCCAAGACTTATTTCAATGAGATGTCCAGGTTTCGTCTTTGCTGTATTACCGGACTGTGCAGCACAATGTTCATTCTCATGCTTCTTGACAGAGCTGCAGCGACGGCTCGCAATCCATGTTCAAGCGTTTTATGTTAGTGTTGTTGCCGAGCTCTCTCAAAGAGGGTAAAAATCTGAAATCCCAAGTTAAGAGGTCAATTAATAATAAAGGCATGAGGTTTTTCTGATATTTGTGTTACACATTTAAATTATTGTTAGAGAAGACAAAGGAGAAGAAAAAATTTAATAATAAAAAACTAAAAAATTAAATGAAGAGTATCAAATTTGAATGTTTCAAACTTTAAGTGACAAGATTAAAGTTGATGTTATTAATTCGATATAATCTGAAAATTAACAATTCAATTAAAAAGTGATAAGTCAACATTCTCATATGTCTTAAATAACAAGTCGAGATTATTGAGTTGATCTCAAAATTTTAAATTAATCTGACACGTCAACTTGAATCAAAATGATCAAATTACCCGCTTGATATTTGTGTTTTGTCCTTTAGGCCATACAAGACCCAACCGTTAGCGTTTTTGCCGACCTGATACTGTCGTAGTGAAATGTAATAAAGACGGGAAAAAAAAAAAACCCATTAAAGTAAACATTGTGGTACATTTATACAAGTCATTGGATCGTGTATTGGGATTTAGCATTGGCAGATGAAAGAAGAGAAAGGGAAGATAGAGGGAATTTGGGGGGGGGGGGGGGGGGGAGGGGAATCTGATCAGTAGTGAGGCATTTATATGGTAAAGAAGAGTGGCAGTGGCTTTTTGAGAGTGCCGTCGTTGTAATTTAATTATCGATGCATTGTGTAAATAATTTTATATATTATCAATAAATTATATATATCACATAAAATTTTAAAAAATAAATTTTTATGCATTTATTTTAAAGATTTGTAAAAATCTATATGTTCGTAATACATCAAATATAAATTATTATTATTATTATTATTATTATTATTTGTATTGGAGGAACTAAATGCTCACAACCAATCTAATCAAAAAACATAAATTACAAAATATTTTTTTCTTAATGTAAAAAAAAAAAAAGGAAAACACAAGACATTGCTGAGTTTATGTCTAGTTAATTCAATGTTGTTCAAAAATTGAAACAAAATTTAATTTAATTTTAAAATATTATTACAAAAATTAAATCATAATTTACAAAAATAAAAAAAATTCTCTTTATTAATTTAACTAACCCGTGCGCTACCAATAATGTGTTATACATTATCAATATTCACATGAGAATGAAACTGAAAATTTGATTTTATTAAAATAGGAGATTTAACACCATTAATATAAAACAAAAACATAAACATAAACAGTGTAGGTTATATATTCAAGCAAATTAATGACAATTGAACAAGTAGAACATAATCTTTTAACATTTGAAGGAAATGCTGAGCCGTATGTGTTTTTTTTTACATATCATAAAGTTCCCAGAAAAAATTGGTTGCAGACGAGACCGATCCTTTAATGGTATAACATCTCCCTTGCCATGGAATCGTCCAGCTCCATTCTCAGCATCATGTCAAAGAACATAGCTGAGAAAAAGGTGCAGAATCAATCATCCATCCTCTTTTGGAAGGAAGGAAAGAAGAAGCATGCTCATTACATCGAGCTTGACTCGAGTTTGTCATGTTGTTTATTCTATAGCAAGAAAGGCAAGTTAAAATCACCATATCATGATGAATGAAACAAAAGTAGACTGAAAGTTCATTGATTGAACAAAGGCAAAGGCTCTTTTCCAGCTACAACCAAGGACACTATAAAGATTGGAATTTTCAAATCAGTAGAAAATTTTGGAACATGAACTATTGAATTATCACCCAAATATCACTTACATTGAGCAGATAAGACGAATGTGTGATGATATTTAAAGAAATATAGCTAAATTTTACCTCACTGGATAAAGATGTCTGAAGAAATACAGAGCTGTGCATCCACCCCTCCACTGACCACACTGTCACTCTTCCACCGGTTGGCACATAATACCTAAAATGCAGCCAGGCCACAACATCAATGGGGATTTCAATATGTTTGCTTGAAAACTCATATACAAAAATGAATATACCTTTTCCTCGTGCGTATCAATGATAGCCAGAGGCCACTGCCACACAGAAAGCATTTGTCAAAACAGTATCCAGAGAAACAAAAGGTTGCTTCTTGTTTGGCATGTAATACATAGTTAAATTGTGAAAATGCAGAAAATATGATACTGCTGATCTTAGAACCCACAACACTATTTCCCATCATAGGATGAAGAAAGTAAATGAAAAGAAGACGTATTGTGCCACTAGCAAGCTGAAATCCAAGAATTATGTGAAGAGAACTGAAACACAGATGCCGTTCTTCCTTGAAAAGGTAAAAGTTTCATGTGAGATGGTACTTTAAATGGTTTCATGTGTCCACACGGGCACCAAATGGGTGAGAAAGAGAGGCAAAAGAAAAACATTAACATACATGATATTATGAACAACAGACCCAGCATACAAGGATCCCATATTCTAAGAATTGGGCCAGAACCAACAGCAGCAATGAGAGCCGATCCTTCCCTGCCTATATCAATGCAGTTAAGGACTTTACCACAGAACTGTGCATGAAGGATGGTATCATTCAAACTTTGGAAAACAAAAAGGTTTTCTACCTTAATCTTTCCAACAGAAGATAATCAGGGAAAGAAACGAATCAACATAAAAACCAAGCCAAATACTAAAAGCAACAACTACTCAAATTCCAACCATACGATAATAAAAGTTACAGATTGCAAATTTTTAAGAAAAAAAAATTGATTAACAGGTGTAGTGATGTACAATGATGCCAGCCTCCCAATAAGGGTGGGCAAAATGGGAGGAAGGACATACAAAACAGTTAAAGGCGGGTAAAGGGATGCAATAGACCCACAGAAAACGGAAAGCAAAAGAGGAACCAGGTTGGGGAAGAGCGGAAAATGAAAAACAACCTAAGCAATAATATTTCCTTTTATCCCTTCTTTCGTATGAACAAAAATTGTACTTTTAAACATCAGAAAAAGTGCGAAGACATGATTCAAGAAGCACAAAATGTAATTGCCATCGTATAACTAGAATGCAAGTGCATGCAAACACAAAGACAAATGGAGAGAGAGAGAGAGAGAGAGAGAGAGAGAGATGTGCTATATTTGACAAATCTTTGCCTGTCTCAACATCCCATTGTCTAAAAGAGTGATCCCATCATGCCAAATAAATTGTCTCATGTTGAGGCCAAACCACACGACACACACTGTGTATGGCCCACAAGTGTAGGCACAGCCTCTCTGCACAAAACATGATATTGTCATAAGTTATACAAATAGCTTGCTGCAGAAAAAAAAAAAAGAAAAAAGAAAAACTAAGTAATAGAAAAAGGTTATAGAAGAAAAAAGGGGAAATTTTGATATTTAAAACAGAAAAGCCCACATGCATAATAAATACACAACATTCATTATGATGACATTGCTAGTTTATAACTGTTTGGAGAGAAGCACTGAGTTAATGATAATGGTTCAGAGGCATTCAACTTCTACTTAATATTTCAAGAGCAAGCAAGTACAAGACTGGAGATTCAATAAATGATACGGTATTATACTTACCATCGCTGCTATCAGAAAAAGTCCATATTCTTCTTGTTTTACTTTCAAAGTGCCCTTACAAAGCATGAATATTCTCTATAGAAGCCTTTCTGCATGATGGTAAACAACTTCCATTACTTGAAAATAGAAATGCAGAGCAAGGGAGCAAAGCACAAGGATGCCATACCTCTGATTGAGATTCCTCAGCTTTATTATCCATCTTTCTTTTCTTGATTGATACCACATCTCCATCTGTATCAGAGTCATTTGTCCACCATAAATTGATTGTACAATCCCAAGAACCTGAACAAACCTATATCAAGTGAGTCGGAGGCAATGACCCTGATGTTAAAAATCAACTTTATCAAAGTACAATAAACACAAAAAAAAAAAAAAGAAAAAGAAAAGAAAAGGTTTAAAGAATAGCTGAGACCATGTCTCCTGAAGTCTTTGCCGCAACACTGTGAACAGATTCATTATGCCCATGCAAGATCTTGAATGCTCTTATCCTTACAGGATGATCATTGGAGTCCTCTGCATCAAACTTTCATAGAAAAAGGATGTACCAGTTAGTAAGGGAATTAATTTTACACTATCCATTTTGAAATGAATTCATTTTTCTAATTGCCTTCCACATCCTCTGAGTTCGAACTTTTGAAGCAGTGGCTTCTGTAGCACTTCCTGCCTCTGCACATGCAACATACCCTACTCATCAATAAAAAGATAATCACGAATACGAGTAAAAACAAACCTAGATATAGATTGAAGGACACCACGCAGGATTAGGCATAAAATAGACACCACTGACAACATCGTTTCATTTCACCAAAACAGAAAGGATGATACATAGAGCAGGCTTGGAGTTTTCCAATGCTATCAGATGAAAGCAATAGCTTTTATGAAGTAAAATTCATATGACATAGTCATACATTAAAATCCTTCATTAAGATCAATGACTAAAATGTTAAAAATGACCATAGACCACTACTAGCCCAAACTTTCTGAGTTGATACTAATTGCACCACTGTGTCCTTCTAGTATATGTGGACACCATCCAGCTCCTTTCCGTACCCTAAAGGAAATTACATAAAAAGAGAAAGTTCAGAAAAAAAGGAAGATTTATGTTAACCAAGTCCAGTAAAGCAGCAAAAGGACAAGAACAAAGAAATTTAAAAGTTACAAAGAATCAGACAAAACAAAGTAATATTTACCTTCCCAAACCATCATAGCAGCCAGTCAAAATGAACCTGCAAAACAAATTGAACCATGCAGTGTTACTAAATAAATGTAATGCCAACCAACTCAAAGTCATCCAATCTTGCTTGAAAAATAAGTTAACACTAGCACCAACAGTAATAATACAGTAAAAAGTAAAAAACTGAGCTGCAAAAATACAGAATAAAATGAAGTACACTGGGTATGATTACATAGTGGAATGCTTGCCTAGGACTAGAACCATGATTGCACTAACCCAATCATCATTTGGAGAAGGCCCTTCCTCTTTTCAAAGGGCAACAGCTCTTATGTATTCAATTTCATAAATTTTCTCCACAATTGTTCACACAATACAGCTAGGAATTAAGGATTTACAAAGTCATCCTAAATCTTCTCAAATTTCATATATTTGCAATTCTTTAGCATGAATGCCCTAAGAAACACTTCATAATAAGAAAGATGGCAATGCTCATACAGTTGCATCACTAATTGTAAGCCTAAACAAATAATCATTAAAATAAAATTGTGATGGGTCTCTGAAACTACAAGAAAAGATAACTAAACATGTTTGATAAGGACTAACACAACATAGAAATTGCATATTTCTCATTATTTATTTTCACAAACTTTTTCTACCTAGTTAAAACTCAGTAAAGTAAATTTGAACGTTAAAAATATAATGATAAAAAAAGTACCGTGGAAATGCCTTTGGCAAGAAGAAACTGCTCAAGTGACATCCGAACCAGCTCTCCATTGATAAGGAAATCACAGGGTTCAGTTTTCCACTCAGAATTCACTGCTCATAGCCACACAATTTCCAACTTAATAACAGCAAGAGATAATAATTACTCAGAAAACCCTTAACTGAATTATCTCAACAGCTCTAAAGTCATTGACTTGACTTTAGAAATAGCCACAATTCTTAAAGAAACAAGCAAACAGTCAAACACAAAACTAAACACCCTCCAAAGCAAGAGAAAACCGACATCCAATCAACTTTTAAGCATCTATATGCATTACCGGCTTGGAGGAGACTATTAGCAACAAATTACAAATTAACAAGAAAAAACCCAAGTTTCTTAAAGAAACCAGAAAACAGTCAGTTACCCAGAAATATCTACATACCTTTATTTGCTTGGATGAGACCATTGGCAACAAATTACAATAACCCAGAAAAAACTCAAATCAAATTATAACAAAAAAGATATTAGCTTGAATCCAAAAACAACCCCACATTTCTTAAGAAACTTAAAACACCAATTAAATTGAACAAAAACCCAATTTTGGTTTCTATCGATACCATCATATCAAATAAAGTTTTTACCTGCTTGAAGAATCTTGTTAACAATGGAGGAAAGGCCTAAAACGAGAGAGGTCAGAAGGGATGGCAATGGCAGTTATGGGAACTTTATACGGAGCTTTTAGCTTTATTACAATTCTGACTTGAATCCTCCTTGAGTTGTCTTCATTGGTTTCTCTGTTGATTTCCATTTTTCTTTAAAGCTTTTTCTTTCTTTTGGATATGTAAAAGTCAGAGAAAGGAGAAGGGGAAACTCAGACAAGGCCACAAGAGTTTAGGCAGAAGGAAGACAGGGATGAAGAAGTGAGAGCTTGGCCTTTAGTTTATGGTTAAAACTTAAAATCAGCCCTTTTTTTTTTTTTAATTTTGTAATTTCGCTCTTGATATTTTCATTTCTTTGATGGTAAAAATGTGCCGTAGCAATTAGTATTATTGGAAATTTGAGAATTTAATCTCTCTTTAATAATTTTAGTCCAATTGTTAATAGTATTATATTTTATTTCGTTAAAATGGTTAATATAGTTGTTAACTTGCTTGCTTGATATTATTGACATGATATTTTGATTGATTGTTATTAATTTTCGATGATGATGTGGATTAAAATTATTATCATATCGTTTACATAAATTCACGTCAACATTAATTGTATATTTTATTTTTAAATATTATTTTTACTTAATATTTCTTAATATCATTAAAAAAATTAAAATTGAGAGAAAATCAAAACAAAAACTATTTAACCTAAATCCTTTTGGTTTCTCTCATTTGTTCTCAAATCTTAAATTTCAAATCTCAAATCTATTATACTTAACTTTAAACTCAAATCGAAATCTTAAAATTAAAAACTTGAAAGAGTTGATTAGTAATAAGAAAATGTTCGAGTTTGATGAATCAATAAACCCTAACAAAAAATTTTTGATTTCTTTCATTTGGATTGGAAATATGAATAAGTGCGATGAATCGTTTTTCTCATTTACTTGTCACTAAATTTTTTTTTTATACTTTAACTACAATTATTTTTTTTATGGATATTTTTATAGAATTGAAAAAAGATATTTTTTAATACTTTAAACCTTGATTGCTACATTGAAGAAACTGGGTTGATGGGTTAGGGTTATATTCTTTATTAGATTATTTTTAAAATTTTTTACAATGTTACATTGATTGTGGTCTTATATCTGTGTTTCTATTCAACATAGTGATTTCTTATTTTAACACCTGGATTGTCTTCTTTTATATTTTGATTGGGTTAAACTTGTTTAAAACTTAAGAAAGAGAGAGAAATTAATGGAAAATTGCAACAAATCAACGAATGGTAACTTTGTTTTTTAGTGTGAATACCTATGGCACATTTTGAATTCAAGGTTTACCAAAAAAGTAAAGAGTCCAAAAAATGTTAAACCCCAAATTGACAACAAATGCACATTTGTTTTATTAACTTTGATATTATGTTTGAATATTAAATTAAAGAATCTTTAGTTTAACTTGTGTTTTAGTAACCTATGTTACGGAGGTGCGTCAATATATTATTATTGTGGATTAAAGGTTTCTTTAGTCACTTCAACAAATGATGATAATCCTAAAAGACATTTCTTTGGTCGTAGCAACTATTAGGTATATTTGAAATAATCATACATTATCGAATTTTGATATTGAGTCTAAAGCATGATCTTAAAGTTTGATTATCACTAAAATTGTGCTTAGCATGATAATAAAATGTATAATTAAAATGTATGATGTATGTAGAGAAATTAGTGTTGATTTTTGCTTGGCAAGATAAGCCAATTGAGGATAAGCATATAAACTATGGATTATTGATTTAAAGGATGCCAACAGAAGTTTAACAAGAGAGAATTCAATATTGAAGGATGACAACAAAGCATTAAGAAGAATGAATGCTGACTTATAGAATGATAATTAATGTAAAAGAACAATGTTTAACATTGATAATTTATTTAACAAAGTTGCTATATTGAAAGTCGAGAATGATGTGTTACGTTCAAGATTGAAAAATGTTGTGTTAGATGCAAAAGTGGAAGCAAAATAAAAAAGACTGTACAAAATAGGTTTAATGTTTACTTAGTTAATGTTGTTGCATTTTGTATTTGGAATGGGTAAGGATGATATGATTAGGAATGGAATGTTGGCTCTGTGATAAGTAATTATATATGTATGAATGATTTATTATTTAATGTGGAGACTCGCACCCAACTTAAGAGATACTGTTTGCTTTGAACCGAATGTTTCATTGTTTTATCCCATAAAAGGTGCTTTCTAGATTTAGGGTTTAGATCTCCACATATATTTCATACCATCTCCACACATTCTTTCAATATGAGATGAGGGGCGTTACATTTAATGATATGCAAACCTTTTCTATCATTCAAATGTGTATATAATATAAAATTATATTTTGGTTAATGATAGCACATTTTCTTGCATTTGAATTTCTTTCATGTAATACATGCTATAAATAATAGAAAAACATATATGATCAATTGATACCACCAAACAAAAGATAATTGCAACCATAAAGTTATATGTTTTCATTTTCATTTGAAATCATAAACCATAATGTTTGCAACAAGAAATTGCTATTGGCATTTACAACAAACCAAAATGTTTGGCACTATAAAACCTAGAGCTATAAAACCAGACAAGTTATTGGTATCAATACCATTACATACAATTCAAGTCTGGTAAAAAAAATGCTAAACCTTCTTTCAAAACCCAAAAAGTAACTATAGAAGCTAGAACTATGAAATAAGATAATTAGTTGGTATCAATACCAATCATTAAAAAAAAAAAATCTTGGTTTTCAATTTGGTTGCACAGAATCTTCATCGTCAACCTTATTCTTTTCTTTTCGTTGCAGTTGATGCAATACTTTCTTATGTTGAGTTTATTACAGTTTCTTGTTCTTCCCACTTGTTGACATATGTTTTTGTAGAATTTTTTTGTTCCTTTGTGCCTAAGAATAGAAAATTTAAAACAGTAAGATTCAATATAAAGATGCAAACAAATGGTGATGTTTCGACCAACAATGGCTATTTTACCAGTAATTTATTTTTGGTGATGTCTTGACTAATCATCATGCTGCCTCTTCCTATAAGCAACTCACCCAGGTCTTCTAAGCTATTTTTATAAAATTCATAGTATTAGTTTCAACACCCTAAACCTTATAAACTAAATTAAATCAGTAATCACTAATCCTACTATTCGGATCTTGGTATAAACCAATTCTTTCATTAGGCATTTCTTTGGTTGCAGCAACTATAAGGTATATATGAAATAATCATAACTATTGAATATTGATATTGAGCTTAAAGTATGGTTTTGAAGTTTGATTATCACTAAGATTGTGCTTGGTATGATAATAAAATGTATAATTGAAATCACTATAAAAAAATAGGTTTTTAGCGATTTTTTTTCACATTTAGCGGCATTTATAAATATTGCTAAATGGTTTGTGGCATTTGCCAATAATGCTGCTAAGAGTGTTGGCTATATCTATGTCAGAGAAAATAGTGACATTTTAGAAAAAAATGCTGCTAACTTGTAGCATTTTCAAGGACAAATGCCGTTAAATTTAGCAACATTTTTTACTGCAAACATTGCTAAATTAGGAAATTTACTTTTTTTTTTAATTATTTCAATATTCACTATAATAATTAAATAAAAAATAGATAAATATTTTTAAATTCATAAACTAAATATTATAAATATTTAAACATCTAAATACA